GTCAGGGAAAAGTACCCAAAAAATCTAAATGTCCATGAAACAGAGTTTAAATAATGTTGTTAAATTCTACGCGTGTTCTGTTGTCTACATCTGAGTCCCTGAAGAGTAACGTTCAGTGTGCTGCAAGTCCTGTAAATCATGTGCGGACCAGTGATGAAAGGAGAAACATGGATAAAGTTGAACTGCTGGACCTGGATGATTGTGAAGTGTCAGAGGAGTGCAGGATATGGCTTCTGAATCTCATTGAGAAGTATGAGTCAACCTTTTCACGTGGAAAAATGGATTGTGGAGAATTTTGTCCACAAAATCTACTCGGTGGGCGAGAAGCCATTTCGACTCCCTTTTTAACGTATGGCCCCCAGCCACTATGATAAGCTGTCCACTGCTATGAGTTTTAGTGTGGAAAAAGAATGGTGACCTTCGTATTTGTATATGTAATGACCTGATCATTATCAGTCCTGTTATTTTGTTTATTTCTGAAATATGTGGGTTATTGTATTTTTTTTTGATAAAGTGTTTAATGCATAGCCTAAGATTTATCATTTATGTGCTGTTCAGATGTGCCTGTTGTGTTCAACAGTTGTTAACAAAAATGTTTTAAGGATGGTTCATTACATAAGAGAAGCTCACTAATCAATCAATGTTAGAGATTTAGTGATTTAAAAAAAAGTATCCAATATTTGAAATCCCGCGAGATACGAGAACGAAAAAAAAAAAAAAAAAAAAAAAAAAACGGACGGCGCACGTGACGAGTGTGAGCACGAGGGCTATAGTCTGCTAAAAGAGTTTCGTGTATTATATGCTTAAGTTGGACTAATTGCTTTAAATTGGACTAAAAATGCTTTAAGTTGGACTATAATTTGTTTACCGCACATCACGCTCTCGGGAGAGGGGTTTGGCCTGTGAAACTGTGACCCACTTCGGGAGATGTGTGTTTTACACTGTGTGGAGTGAGTTTAGAACTGTTAGCCTCTCCGGCTAAGTTAGTTCGTGGTTTTGCAATCGTCGTGGAAAGGACCGCAGAGGCGCAGACACGTCGTTCGATTGTTGTACGAGAGGAGACTACATCGGGAAGAGTTTCGCTGGCTGATGTAGGTGACCGGAGACCGTTTGATTATGAGCGCTGGACCGGAAGAAGCTGGTTAATCCTCGCTCTGCCGCCGCAGACGCCGTCGCTTGAGGAGAGAGAAAGTTCCAGACTCGGTGGGATCTGTGGCTTTCACTTTACTCGTGGAGGTATTGTTGTTGTTTTTTCCACTCTATAGACCTTATGCACCAGAGAAACGTGGGCGCCGTCATCTTTAGAATAATTGTCTTTGAACTTCCGTTTTTGCGGTCGCTCTGTATATTTCTGGCATCGCTGTCGAGGAGTAACTTAATTAGCTGGTGAAGTGGATTTACTTATTGTAGAGTTAACAAAAGTTATCATGAGCATTGCAAGGCAGATGTCTTAACAAATTTTGACCGGGAATTTCATACGAGCTGCAGTTCATTCATACTATGCAAGATTGTTGTGGAAATTAGTGATGGCCGGTTCGTGAACGAATCGTTCTTTTGAACCGGTTCTTTTTAGTGAACCGGTCGAACCAGTACACTAAATCGGACTGAATCGTTCGAAACAGTTCGCGTCTTGCGTCAGCGCTAAACCACAAGTTACTAAAGTTACTCACTTTCAGACATGCCTGACAGTCCCTCCGAATCGAAATAAACCAATATCCAGAAGTACATTTTATTCAGTAACTCAAAAACTTCACTGAATGGAGACATGTTGGTGCTGAGAGAAGTGACGAGCACGAGCAGCTGATACTGCGCATGCGTGTACTACCGAACATACAGGTACAGCGGTCGGATAACCAGCACAGAACCGAGAACTGTTTCTCTTATTAAATAATATTTTCAGGAACAGCTAGCTCATTTAATTTCTAAGTAACAATATAAATCATTGATGTAAACTCTTGCCAAGGTTTGGTGCACTGCTTAGTAAATGTTTATAATGTGTTAACATAACGAATTAATTCGTTATGTTTAACACATTATAAACATGATATACACTGTATAGGCTACAGAAGGCTATTGGAGACAGACATGCATCGATTTTTTAGTTTTGTCGACTGTATATTCAGGTTTCAGCTCAGCACACAGCTATGCTATGGTTCTCGAGTCGAGAACTGGTTGTTGCAGTTCTTGAATCACTAGTACAGAACCAAGAACTGTTTCTTTCGGACACGTTCGATACGGAGAACCGATGAGCTGGAGATACTGCGCATGCGTGATAGCACCGTCTCTGAACAGAACTTTCTTTCGGTCGGCTGATCCTGTGCTGATATACGAGCACGCAGTAGTATGGGTGAACCCAGGACTTAAATGAGAGGGCGAATCGGCGAAATGTACGTTTATTTAATAACAAATAAAATGATGAAGACCATTTATGCATTTTATATATTTAAAACATGTAAAACATCCGCGTTAGCACATCGCTATGCTGCAGCAGGGTTCGTTTTCAAAATGTAAATGTAAGAAACTTATCCAAGATGATTATGACAATGCATACTATTATTTAACTGAAGTTGTGATTAAAATGCCCTTTAATTTGAAGTATTTTTATCCGCCGGGATGATAGAATTGACGTCATTACGTGATGACGTAAAAGAACTGGTGAACCGGTTTTTTGAACCGGTTCATTAAAACGAACTGTCCGAAAGAACCGGTTCGCGGAAAAGAACCGGACTTCCCATCACTAGTGGAAATACAGACCGGAAGTCAAAAGACAACGAGCGCAGCGCTGAAAAGGGGCGGGGCTACATAAGGTCTATTCATATGCCGCGTTCCAGGCAACCTGTAACCCGTACTTTCCAACCTTATACCCGTGAAAGTGCACTGGAACGGCAGTCAAACCCGTGACTTCCCACCCGTGAACTCATACTAGATCATGTACTACTCCCAGTTAGGGCTGTTAATCTTCCTCTATAATACTATTCGAATTCCATTCCATATTTTATGTAATATTCGAATATTCGAATATTAAATGCTCAAATTCATCCTATTATTAATATTTACGACATTACATATTCTTATGGATCGCCAATGCCACTATAGCCTGTGGTTGTTGTTACACGTTCTGTCCACTAAAGGGACATCTAACATTACTAATAAACATTTAGATCGCGTCCATAAACCAGCTATACAGCGTGGTAACCTCGAAAATCCACCAGTATTCTAATGATAACTTAGCTCACCTTATTAGATAGGCTCCTTACATGTTGGCTAATAACTTTTTTTAAAGCTGGTTCTCAGACATTGACAGCGCTGTGTTTGACTGATTTGTGCAGCGGTGTTCCAAAGGGCAACATGACATCATGACTTTTGTGTCAACATACAATCCACTTTCAATTCAAGTGGCGTGTTATCTATACGTATTTTTGAGCCATTTCATGAGATCAGTTTGCAAAGGGAGAGATTGTGCGTGGGACTAGCTAGCTTTCGTGTGGCACTCGCAAGGTCTCTCTCTCTCTCTCTTGCATATATATATGTAATGGAGGAGACCCGGGTTCGAGGCCCGCTCGGAGCGGGGCGAGTGGGACCCGGGTGTGGGGGTTACATTGGTGCCGTGACCCGGGTGAGAGTGAGGTTTAGGGGGGTGAGTGTAACGGAGGCCCCAGCCAGCAGTTAAGAAGGTTTTATACTTTATACGTACTTGCCTCATCACGAGTATGGTGAACAGGGTTACACTGATTTTAGACGGCTGAATATGAAGACAGTGAAGGACGCTTACCCACTCCCACGCTGGGAGGCAATGCTTTCTTCTCGACCATGTATTTGACTTCTGGCTTTTATAATGTACTCTTGTTTGAAGAGCATCAGAAGTACACCACTTTTTCCTCTCCTTTCGGCCTCCATGAGCACAATCTTCTACATCAGGCTACCTCAGTCCAGCAACCTTTATGAGGATGACGATGTCCATTTTCGGGGATGAAAAAATTAAAATTGTCAACACAAGCCTAAACAAAAATAAAAAGGAAAAGTTCTACACTGCCCACCTTTGTTTCACTTCTTTGTGCAGACTCTCTTTCTATAGGCCTTTCCTCCTGCACCTCATATTGTAGTCAGAAATAGTAGGTACACAAGTATAAATCAGGTAAAGTTAATTATGAACTTACACAATGTAAAAATCACATCAATCATTAATAAAATCCCCCCACACTCATCACTGACCTGCTCAGATTTACTCAGCACAAAATTCACAGACTTCTTCATCCTGTTCTTCAAATCATTACTGAACAATGTAGCCCGTGTGCATTATCCTGCCGAAAGAGGCCACTTCCACCTGGGTGTAGGCTACCTGGTTTGTAACAATGTTTAGGTAGGTGGCACATGTCAAGTTTAAGTACACATGGATGGCATAAACATTGCCCAGAGCATCATATTCCCTCCACTAACTTGTCATCATCCCACGGTGTACCCTGGGGCAATCACTTCCTCAGGTAAATGGCACACACTTACACGACCGTCCATGTGATGTAAAAGAAAACTGGACTCATTGGACCAGGTGACCTTCTTCCACTCCTTAAAGGTCCGGTTTCGATGCTCACGTGCTCATTGTAGTCACTTTCGATGATGGACAGGGGTCAACATAGGCACTCTGATTGATCTTGTGGACAATTTGGTCCTAGTCAAAGTCGCCCAGATCTTTATTTCTTGTCAGGAGATCATATTCGCTTGATATTCAAATGTTTTGGCTTGTGTATATATATATATATATATATATATATATATATACATACACAAAAGCATAAGCAGCACCTTTTTCAACTAAAACATTTCCACTAAATTCTTTGTAAATTGTCTCCATTCATTTGTGAAAATGAATTACTCTAATGGGTTATGATATTCCCAATATTGTTATCAGGATAGATTAAAATGAAACATGATTATAATGTGGTGTAAATTAAATATAAAAATCTGTTGTCATCTTATTAAAAAAAAAAAAAATGACACCCCAATCAGTGCATGTTCCAGTTTATTTGTATATTATTTACAGAAGACTTTTTGACACAATATGCATTCATTTTCAATGTTCTTTTCCCCCTCTTTTCTTACAGAACCTTGTTGCTATGACAAAATATCTCTACCCCATTATTGTCCTCTTAGCTCTTTAATACGTTTGGCGAGTTGTCGCGTTATCCCTGTGGAGGTTAGTCCTGTATGGTCAAGGAGCCATATTCACAAAGTTTTAACCCCTGAGTTATTTAAGAATATCACAAAAAAGTCACACACCAAACTACAGGGAAAAAGAGAGACCATTTATTTTGAGCATCCAGAAAAGCATTCAGGCTAATTTGTCTTTGCATGAGAAAACACTGTTTTGAGGAGCAAGGAAACAGCAACAGCTCTTTAAATAACTCCTGAGCGAATCTTTGTGAATAGTGGCTGAAGTTTTACTTTGCATCTACACTGCATGTTCATGGACAAGGTTGCAAGACAAAGAAACTTGTGTGTGATTATGCAGAAATGGATTGTCTTTACACTTTAGCTGCATTCCATGTCTGCACACTACCCATTAAATTCCATGTCTGCACACTACCCATGTTCCAGTTTTGCACCGTATTTCAATACGCTGAAGTGAATATCATGTGAACAGAAATGAAAAACAAGCAGGCTGTGTCTTTGGTTGTATTGATGTCATTTCAGTTTATCCACACCTGTTTGTTAGTCTTTCATGGAATAGTTATTGGTGACATCATAGACGATTCATATTTACAACATCTGGGACGGTATTTTCCAGAATATTACCACATAAAATTAGACGACCAATTGGATGAAACCTCCTCCACCCAGTTTTTTGATAGACAGCGTATAGCTTCTCATTTTGCTCTTCGCTATATTTGGCTTTATAATTTTGCGTGTGTGCACCAGCGATGACTTCTTTGTGCCACTTTCCCGTTTTAGTTTCTCTGTATTTGGGTTAGTAGCATATCCAATGCCCTCGATTTCACTAAGTCTGCAGAATCAGGGAAAGTAGCAATAAAGAAGACTTTTAAACACTAAGTATAGGGTACACCTGAAGGAATCAGGGAAAGGAAGATACCGGTAGTTAGCAAATTCAACTGGGTAGCTTTATCGTTTGGATTACAATAGAAAAACTTTAATTAGCAGTTCCAATGGTTTAATTTTAATCTTTAGCAATCCATTTGCTCTTATCAGAGCTTGCAAAATGCATATCTACATTATATAGCTGCATTTACAGGTTAATACATATAATTGGCTTTAAATACAGGTAAACATTTACAATACATAAAAAACAGATAAAACTGATCACGCTCTGTGATGTGATCAGAAGAATATATTATTTTGTCAAAGCAATTTTCTGAAATAATTTACATCAAAAAGATCAAAAACCATCCTACAGAAATCACAGTATTTCTGTCTTGAGAAACAACAGTAACTAGTGTTTTGTCAATGTTTGGCTAAACCTGTGTGTACAGAGCTGCAATCATTATGTATATTATGAGAGGAAAGTTTTTAAGAATATCTTAGGAAAGAAAAAATATCTTCCCTTTTTGTACAGTCGGACACCCTGGAAGACAAACAAAATAGATGTGATTGTGAATTTACAGATAATTACAAATAACCTAGTTTTTTTTAAAGGGAAGTCCTGCCAAACTAAGATGTATATATTAAAAAATAAATTATATCTATAAGGTTTTACTTTTTTGCCTTAGTGTTAGTAATATTGGTAAAGGTAAACTAGATATTAAGTGCTTATATAAAGTGCTGAAATTCAAATGATGCAACCATTGGCCATGTGTCCAATATTCCCTCATACTTATCCTGTATAGCTCCATCATATCTTCTCAGTTCACCTAAATATGGCACACAAAGTACATTCTGTGACCATATCGAAGTGTAATGCAAACAATAATGGTAACAGTAGCTAAAAGCTGAAATCAGAGCCTTAATAATGCAATATGTTTTACTTTAGAGAGCGAGTTTCGTTTGGTGTGTGTGTTCAAAATTGGAAGTTACCCATTTCAAGAAATGTGTGTCAAAGCGAGATATATAGAGTTATGAGCCATTCACTACATATCGTAGCTGTGTAGGTTATCATTGATCTCTGTTTCACTTAGCAAATTGCAAGATTGGCCACAGGTGCATCAACTACATTCTGTCTGAAGGCACCCAGCTAAAAATACCAGGAGCGAAGAATGAAAGTAACTGCGGAACAATGGAAGGTCATGGCTGGGCTGTGGGTGTCAGATCTTGCTGTTCTCCAGGTGTGAGTCAATGTGCTTGATCAAGGCATCATCAGGGTAACCAACAGGGAAGATTAGCTGGCACAAAGGGCAGCTCCTGACGTCACCCTCCTCCTCGGTCTCCATCCATAGCTGTAAAGGGCACAGTGATATGTTTGACAGCCATAATGTTTAAAATCCACCATTAAAACGGATATAATAAAGGTGAAATGTGTATTTTATTCAATGTTACATTGAATAAACATCATCTTTCCCAGCTTGACTGGCACAAACTAAATATTGATTTCCCTGAAATGGGTCAACACTGTTTCTCTGTGCCACTTTCAAGACATTTCAGTGTTTATTAGAGCAGCCAGACAGAGCAACATCATTCGTTCTAAATTCGTTTTAAATTTAATCGGAATTACAGGAAAATGACTTTCCTGAATTACAGAAATTTGACAAACAATGTTTGTAAAGCAGAAAGCATATATTGGCGACATGTCAAACTTTAAGGACTGGTCTAGCCTGGATGCCCATCCGAACCCCGCCCACAACATTTTTTGGTCGGGAAGTTCGGTCTGGACTAGATCCATTGAGGAGTAATTATGATTGGTTCAGAAATCGGTCAGGCCAATCAAATTGCCTTTATACGATTTTGGACATGATCTGCAGTTACGTAATCATCACATTCTCAAAGAGCACTTGGGTTGAACTGGTTTCCCTCAAAGAAGACTCAAAGAAGAGAATTGAGATGTTTAGATTCCGCTGTTGTAAAAGAAATCGACAGCGCATTAATTTTAAAAGACAAACAGAGAAATGTAATTAAGGCATTTGTCGATCGGAAAGATGTTTGCCGTCCCTCCTAAAAGCCCTGTGGTTGTTGTGGTTTCTCCTTTGGTCGCACTCATGGAGGACCAAGTAAAAGAAACAACACTCATTTTACAACTTCTTCCAGCATGCATGCGCCACTTACTGTGTTGCTCTGATTGGCTGTAGGTCTATCCAATTGAGTGCAGAGCTTTTCTTTCCTGGTTTGGTTAAGACACGCCTCATAATCAATGCCCTGTAGACCAGTATCAGACTCACATTCTGACTAGAATATGAGTATTATTATGAGTATTAAGTCAGGCTAGGATTAGTCCACTCCAGAATAAAAATGTTCTTATAATTTACTAACCCCCACGTCATCCAAGATGTTCATGTTTTTCTTTCTTCAGGCGAAAAGAAATTAAGTTTTTTGAGGAAAACATTCCAGGATTATTGTGGACGAATGGGATCAAATTGCAGCTTCAAAGGGCTCTACACAATCCTGGCCGAGGAATACGGGCCTTATCTAGTGAACCGATCGGGCATTTAAACAAAAAAATTATAATACATTTTAACCACAAATGCTCGACTTCACGTATTACGTAGTCATGTTGCAAGGTCACGTGTGAGGTAGGCGGAAGTATGGAAAACTATCTCATTATCTCCAACCTCAAACTCATCCGATATCGTTGTTTTACTTTTTTTTTTGTAAAGGGTGTTTGACTTTATCTTTGCACATTTGCTTTGTAAACACAGGTACTTAGGTACTTCCACCTAACGTGTGACCTTTCCAACATGACTACATAATGCATGAAGTAGTAGATGTCACAGAGCTTGTGGAAGACAAGAATTTGTGGTTAAAAAGTACATAAAAGTATACAACAGATTGTTTCGCAAGATTCCTAGCTTCCTAGATTCCGTTTCCCTTATTCCTAGGCTGGGATCATGTAGAGTCCTTTGAAGCTGCATTAAAACTGCAATTTTGACCTTCAACCCATTGGAACCCAGTGAAGTCCTCCACATGGGGAACAATCCTAAAAAAAGCTTTCCTCAAAAACCTTCATTTCTTTTCGACTGAAGAAAGAAAGACAAAAACATATTGGATGACATGAGGGTGAGTAAATTATCAGGAAATTTTAATTCTGGAGTGAAATAATCCTTTAAGATTTGACTTCATCAAGTCACTATTCAAAGTTTGTCTTAAACCTTTCCTTTCTAGTTATTAATTACACATATTATCAGTTCATTTGAATGAATTGATTTTTTTTAAAGCATTCTGAATGCTGCACAAGTTTAAGGAATTCAGTCTGAAAACATATTTGTAATTCAGTTTGGTTATCAAATGGTGCAGAAATGTCACATTTCACCTTTATGTTATTCTCAACATAGGCTCATTGGAAAAATGTGCCTCTCCACCTAAACTCCAAAAAACATACCTACAGATACAATTTACTACAGTTTCCAGCTCAAATAAACAGTAGTGACAGTAAAACACCAATAACTTTCAGTCATTTTTACACAGATTATGATTACATTGGCAGATTATCAATTAATATCAATTAATTTCACGTTGTGCTTTGCACAATAATGTGTTATGATAACCAGCTTCACATAAGCAGCTTCATGTGCCTGTTTTTTTTTTTTTTGACATAGTAAACTTACTCGGTAGCTCACCTGCATAATTGCGCTTGCAATGCGTCACGAAATGTGCAAAAAGCAAAGTAATATCATTTCGCAGAAAAGTTTCCTTAGGCACGTTTTTCCAATGACCCTGGGTTGGTTATTCTGCCCATTGATTTGCTACTCACGTTGATGGACGGCCACGACTGGGCGTGCTCTGCATGCAGGTATCCAGGTGGGTGGCAGCTTAGGGTGTTGGGACGGGAAGGAATGGGGAAAGCCGAACAAGAGGCGGGGCCTCTGGAGCTCGATGAGGGGCTCGACACCCCCAGTGTTCGTGGTGGACTGATGGGATGAGGGCAGGACCACTCTTCCTCATCCTCTGAGGACTGAGGAGGCTGTGGGGATGGATGCAGAGATCCTGGGCTGGGCTGAGCCTCGAAATGCAAGTGGGACACATCCGAGTGGTGGAAGGACAGCTCCCTGGACAGCCGTGGAGATTCAGCCAATCCCCCATCGCCAGATTGAGAGCCCTGTCTTTGAACTAACATGTGCTGGCTTCCTCCATGCTGCTGCTGCTGTTGTTGCTGCTGTTGCTGTTTCTGCTTGTGGTAGCTGTCGACATAAGGTCGAGGTTTCGGCAGGGTGGACACTGGGTCCAGAGTAAACCGCGGCGGCCGTTGATAAGCCGATGGATCGGCTACTTCAGAATAACTGCGTCTTCCTTGGAAACTGGCCCTCAGGTGGTGGGAAGTGGGCCTGCAGGAATAGGAAGCCGGCCCATCGCTGAGCTCAGGAAGAGGTGAGCGTCGGTGCATGTCCGGAGACAGGCGCTGCAGGATAGGGGAGCGCCGCTGGGGCACAGGGGAGTGGCGCTGTTGGATGGGGGAGTGACGCTGTTGGATGGGGGAATGCCGCTGCGGAATGGGCGAATGCCTCTGGTGAGGGACAGGAGAGTGGCGCTGAACTAAAAGATGAAAACAAAAGTAAAAAAAAAGCTCTATAGGTTAAATATAAGCAGTAAGACATTAAACATAACCACGTTGGATAAATGCTTGAGATCAGTGTTAATCTTGTTACCAAAATAACTTCTAAAAGTCAGCATGAAATTAAATGTTACTATACTATTTATTCAATCCATGTTATTATGTTTTACTTTTTCATTTTTTTTATACCTAGTAATCTTGAACTCGACCTTCTGGTCAAACAACTGACTTCTCTGGTGACGTTTCTAATTTTGCTTAAACTCACCTCTGCAAGTTGGCATTCATCTACCTCCATTATGGTGTGTGACGCCCAACCAACAACTGACAAATATGAGTCACCGTCCTACAGTTATTTCTGTTTAATCTCCAACAATAACAACAATAACAAATACGAGACAAAACATGTGCATCATGACGATATTTAAGCAATTTCAATTAAAACTGTTGACGAAAATATGCCACAGGAACTATTAACAATGCACTAACAATGTTTTTTAACAATAAAAGTGTAGAAAAAATATGATCTTTTCAAATAATTCAGTCACAGTCAACAATGTCAAGGATTGACCTACAGTACATGACCCATACGAGCTGAAGAGTTAATGTACACTGAAGTGCTTTTTCTAGCGTGTTAATTAACCCACTCAGACACATCCTATGAACATATGAGATGAATCAGATTTAAATACACAGTTAGAATGAGCAAGTCATATTGTGATTATGCACTTTCCGTAACAACAAACGTAATAGCATGACATTAAGCCGTAAAACATGGGCATATGACATGAAGTATCTGTTAAAATAATGTGGTAAAATTCATTTATAAATAGTTTGAATGTCTGGTTAGATTAAAGGTAACATGGTTCCTTTTATTACCGGAAGAATATCTTGAAAGGCAGTGTAAAGAAAATAGTCCCTAATGGACAGATAGACGTCTGTAATGACTTTCTCTTCCCCCTCGCATTTCCTCTTTGAGATATTTCCATATTGTTTTCCTGTGCATTCACCCCTAGCATCTGAGGTAGGCTACTTCTACACAAGTTTTTGACTAGTAACGGGCATACAAGATCTTGTACATAAGAAGTATCTGTCTCTCAATAATAAGTATAACGTGCATGAGCTTCCTGCAATCGCAAGATTGCAATCAGCTACTTCGAAAAATCAGTCTATCTATGAATCAGTAGGGTTTTTTTTTTCCCATCCGCTTCTGCTTTTTGGTCTAGTTTCCTATATCAAATAGGTTGTGTGGTTGAGTGCAGAGGTGCTAAAAAGATAAGGGGGGACTTGTTTATGTTCTCAAACTCTAAAGAACGTGAGAGGCGATCAAGACATCAGCAAAAATATTCCTTGTGGAATACAGCGAGAGCAAACAAGCATGCAGTGCTAAAAAAAGCACATGTTTACATACCCCCTGTGCTGAATTTTGACAAGGTTGACAAATTGGTTCTATAGCAAAAGAGGTTCATTAAAGTATGAAAATATGATTATTACCTAAATCAGTTGTTTTTGACATTACATGGCAAATCTTTTGAGCATCTTTAAGTCAGGTTTGGCAGTCGATGTTTTAAATCATCCCAAACGACTTAATTGAGTGCCGTGAGTGCCACATACTGATATATATTAAATTATTGATTTCTTCTTTGCAACCATGTGAACAGGCTTTATCCAATTTTGGGATCTTGTACCTAATCGAGCCAGTTTCATTTAATTCAGTCACAGACCTCTTTCTCCTGTAAATGAGATAGGCAAACCGGTAATTGGTTTTATGCACAGCTTCACTACCAATTGCATAAAGCCAATTAGACAGTGTCTACGCACTTCTGGCCGATTGGTGTATATTCATGACTGTGTAAAATATAAATACAGTTGTTCAAATCTATACATCTCTGAATTAATGTATACTATGAATGTCTTGTCCTCATACCTGGGCTAACCGGCTCCTGTGAGGCTTTCCGCAATATCTCGGTCTGTTTCGAGGTCAGAGTCTGTAACTTGCCCAACTCCTCTGTTAGCTCAGTATAGGCCAAAGCCAGATTGACTCTGTATGGAGAACAGGAGAAAAAGAGAGAAGAATGAAAAAAGAAACAGTTTTAGTTTTAAAACCACGGGAAGTTTAACCATCTTTGCCATATTCTTGCTATATAAATTAGGCTCATACTGTCAATTGCACTTATTTACAAAACTAAACATTACATATCAAGTGCAATTAATATCATGCTTTTGCAACTTGCTAACCAGCTGAGATGGAACTGCACTGGATCTAAACCGCACATATAACTGACAATGACGATAAAAAATATCAGCAGTACTTACTCAGCACTTATGACATTTAAAAGCCATAATAAGGTGATATGATTCATAACAATGGTAGACAATTATGTTTATGACAGTTGGTAACACTATTTAACTGTGATATATGTCACTCCACCAGAAAGAACATAATGCATGACTGGGCCAGAGAAGAAAACTGTAGTTTCTAATCATGTGACTCTGCCGCCGTCACTCACCATGGCAACAGCATTTCTAAAAAGCCTCAGTCATCACAAAAATTGCCAACTGATTTCCTACATTACTGTGGTATTCTCTCGTAGCACTATGCGGTCTCCTTCTCACATTATAAAATTACTTTTTTTATTTGATAAACAGTCATATAAACAGTATTTAATATAGAATAGGTTTATTTTGCAGCCAACTGTAGATTACATCTTAACTTGCAAACTTGTTGCTTTCCTTTCATTGATACTCATTTCACAAAAATGATAAAATACTGTATTGATATTATCTTGTTTA